TATTATTATACAATTTTTCACATTTACTTGATTATCACACCCTAATTTTAACATTGTTTCCATCTCAGCGATAATACTGTGACGTTTACGAATGATGCTTGAATTTAAAGATTGAGCATTTTTTACAGCTTCAAGAATTTTTTATTTATCTTTTATAATTGTTCTGACCGTCGATTCCAGTAGATCAAACTTCTTTGCCAATTCACAAATTTTCATTTTTGTATTGAAGTCTTTAATAATGTTAACTTTACATTCCAAAGATAAAGTTTTTCTTTTCTTGTTTGAAGAAGAATCAGTTCTACTTCGTTTAGATGACATAATAGAGTTTCTCAAATCTCTGTAGATATAACAAACACAGAAATAAATAACACAAAATAAATTTTAGCTATATGTCAATTCGCATGACACGTCCGAACATGTAAGCTGAACAAGTGAGGGGGTAGTGACTAATCAAGAGTTGCGTGGTGCTCAAACAAAAGACAAATCGATGAGATTTGAAAAGCGTGTAACTCTGGGGTAGTGTAAGTTGAGATATTACTGTGTTGTCAATTTTTTTCATGCATATTGAGCTTGCTATAACAATTTATTCCATTTTCTCTTTGTCCTCATTCTTTCTTTCTATGTGTGTTCTTTTCTCATCATTTGCACAATTTCCTTGAGCATTATTTTGGAAAAAGCTTTATTAGCATCAATGCATACCAACTCATCTGGTCCTAGTTGTGGTGTGGAAGTGATATTATCGAGGCAAGGCATTACTTGCTCTGGATGTTTATGGTATGGACAAACAAATTGTTCTTAGTTTCGTATTAGGTCAGTGTATGGCTGACAGTTTTTAATACTTTCCTATGTCATTTCATCCCATACAAGTTTAATAGTGTAGAACAGTGGTTCCCAATTACTTTTTCCTGTGTAACACTTCAAGAAAGAGCTCAAACTCGCATACCCCTTATAGCAGAAATTCATATTAATCCATACTAATATTATAAATTTGAAGATAATTCTGTCTGTCTGTCACCTTTTCATGTCTAAACCGCCGAACAGATATACCAGCAAGTACAGGAAGCTCCAGTGATTTCAAAGTTGAATCATCTGATTGTGAATCAAATTATTCTTTGGATGATGATGCATGAACTTTTAATCAACCAATTGTATGTTTTATCATATTAAACAATATATGGATTTATTTTGTACTTTTTCTATAAAAGTGGTTCGTGTTAAATCTGTCATTTTGTTTTTATTTCAAATTTTGACTTCAGATTCGTAATCAGCGATCCCGAAAATCCTCGAATACTGACTTTCAGCCAAATTGATAACGCTTTTGACTTTTGGCCAGCTTTTTGGAATTTGGCCCCACTGTGTGATGGTTCCAAGATGGGTGACAATGTGAATGCTGCTTTTGTAGTTTACTCCAACTTAGGCCACAAGCTCCGTAATGCTTGCTTCCATATAAGTACACACTGCTCAATAGCACAGGCAGAAACTTTAGCTATTTATATGAGCTTAATTCACATTAGGCATAGGAAGGACAAAAGACACTACAGTACTTACACTATTGCATTTATTCTGACAGTAGAGGAGCTTTACACAGAATTGTGAAGTCTGATAGCCAATTAAAACTCGTCCATCTCATACACCATGTTCTTAGACACTTAGACAACAACATTAGAATAGATTTCCAATGGGTACCAGGTCATGCAGGGGTTCTTGGCAACGAGACCGCTGACCGTCATGCCAGACAAGCTGCAAAGTCTTCAGTCACTAGTACTTTCAATTACATTCCTACCTCGTACATCAACAATCACGTCAAGAAGCAAATCTTCATTCTCTGGCAAGACAGCTGGGACCATGACACCACTAGTAGGCTCACCTACACTTTCATCCCCAAGGTTGACACTACTGCAATTCTTTGCCACTTTCACCCTAGTTACATCCTCACTCAGCTACTTACAGGACATGGCAACTTTAAGCAATACTTGCATAGATTTAACTTTGGGGACAATCCACAATGTGATTGTGGTATTCAGGAAGACCAAACACCACTTCACCTAGTTTTTCCCTGCAATAGATACAATCACATTAGGGATAGTTTAATGAGAGCTGCTATTCTTGAAGGGTACAACTGGCCTTGCAACCCACATCAACTTATTCACACATGTACAATGTGCCATCATCTACTCGCATTTATATCCCTTAGTTGGACCTTTGAGAGCACTTACTCTGGGGTCACAAATGGCAATTAGCTTTCCCTTGCTTGTTTCAACTGTCAGTATATAGTTGCTTTCCACTTTGTATTTTAATTCTTAATTCCATCTTCTTTTCAGTCTAAATTCAGTTAGTTTAAGTTGTAGTTGTAAGTTAGATTAGGGACTCTTAGCTTGGTTTCTGGTTAGGTTTGTCCTAGCTTATAGTAGGTTAATTTAGTTAGTGAATAAGTTAATGTTTAAAAACAAAAAATAATAATAATTAAAATTAAAAAAAAAGGGAGTCTTGCATGTTTGTCCATCCATTTGTCTCGTCTAGTTTGTTGTTGTGTTTTTTTTTTTGCTCTGTCTAAGTAGTTATAAGTCTTCCTACTAACAGTCACTTGGCACTAACTTCCCCACACTTAGCTATTTGTGGCGGCACTGAATCATTGGTGTTTGCTACACTCAGGTTTTCTTTTAGACTCTTCGGGGACTACAGCCTTGCAGCCTAAAAACTGCATGCCAACATCAAACATAGAGGGTACTGTAGCCATACATACGCCATTCAGAAAGGATCCTATCTTTCTCTACTATCTATCTCCTTTCCCTTCTTCTTCCCCTCCCCTTTCCCACTGGCTAAACACCTGATGTAAGGCAGAAGTCTTTCTTGTATGTATGTATGTATGTATTAAAATATGGGGGACAGAAAAAAAGTAAAAATTCTACTGAATAAAAAACAAAAAACTTGCTGATGTCATAAAAAAACATCCAATAGTGTTTTAAAAAATTTTACTGATGTCAAATCCCTCAAATAGAAGTTTAGAATGATTTAATTAAATTTCTGTTGATATGCATTTTTACACATGTTTCGGGCCCGAAACGTGTAAAAATGTGTATCAACAGAATTGAAATAAAGAAAGTGAATTGTGCCAAGTGATTGTTATTGCACTATATTGTGTTTATAGAACAAATGTAATAGATACGACACAGTTTCAAAACATGGAAGTGTTGTTATTCGGCAGTTTGCTTCAATCAGTATCTTTAATTTGTTTTCATTGGCTTCAACTGGCCATCCAGAACATGGTGCATCTTCAATATTGAAATTGCCAGAACGAAATTTTGTAAACCAGTTTTGGCACTGTCAATACATCTTCTCCATACATGTCACAATTTTTTTCTTGCTTGAACAGCATTCTTACCTTTTCGGTAATAAAAGAGCAAAATATGCTGAAAATGCTGTTTGCGATCTTTCTTTTTGTGTCCCATCAAATATGGAACAAACAATTGCACAAAATCAAACAAATTTTTTTACAAATAAGCCTTAAAATGCTAGCTGTCAAAATATATAATGATAATACGGTTTAGAATGAAAATTGCGGGAAAAATACGACTAATCCATCTAGTGGTAAAAAAACGAAATTACTTTCCGAACAACCCAATACAATCCACATCACTATTGCATTTTCCATTTCTTCATGCTCTCTTTTCACTTGAATTTCTTTCTCAGCATCCATACATTTTGATATTTGGCTTAAATTGTTTTCCATAGTATGTCTACTAACTTAACAGATTTATTTACTCCATATCATTGAAAAATATCTCACAACAGGGTGGTTATCACTATACAAGCAGATTTCTTCCTTTTTATTTACATAATGTTGTTTCTTGTTTTAACAAATCATAATGAATCAAATTCTTTGTAATATCATATGTTATATTGGTATTTTCAATTTTTTTGAAGTTCCCCCACAAGAAAGAATCATTTTTTTCTATTTGCAAGCTGATAGAAGTTGAGAATAAGGCTGAAGAGTTTCCAATACAGTTTACAGGTTTCCCTTTCAGAGAAACCTGTATCAGACATTGTAAAACATTAGCAGATGATAGTGTGTGAGGAGGTGGCAGTGGTTTATTGAAACAGTTTACAATGGTCCTGAATGCTTCCTAGGAGATTTTCTGGCCATAAAAGGGACTGACTGTACTACTATGAATATTTTAAATTTGATATAATACATATAAGATATCACTTTAATAGGTACCAGAAAAAATTGCACACAGTGCCTGCCACTTGCTGAAATCTGTAACTTCAGTGATTCGTCCTTCATTTCTCTGCAACTTGGAGTCAATTCAACAATTGTATGCCATTGTTTGCCAAGGAAAATTGAATCTTCCATTAGAGGTAAGTCTAAGTTTTGTGTTATTTTAGCAAATTATATTAAAATTTGTGAAGTGTGACTAAGGAAATGCATTAACACAGACAACTGGACAACACAAGTAAATCTTATATTTTGACCACCATACAATAAGTCAGCCTATTATAAAATTTCCTGTCTAAGTTGGTCACATGTAGGTAAAAGACAAGTTTAAACAGTTTTTGCAACTACAGTCGACCCCCCCTATAAGATATAGATACGTTCCAATTTATTAGGAATCCGATTTTTTACAAGTCGTTCCAATCACAGCCCGACACGTGTCAAGTTTACGGACTACGGCTGATTGAAAGGTTTTCTTCCATAAAATTAATCGATTCTACACTAATCCGACTCAACATTTCCAAAATACGTATATTTTTTCGTAGTTTTATAGGAATCGTAATTATAGGG